GAAAGAACTAGCCAGATGAGGGAATTTCATCCGTGCTACCATACCCTGCAATTTTTTTCCTGTGAAAGGAAAACTGCTTAAATCTAAGAGTCACCTTTTGGCAAAATACTCTAGGATATTTTTAACAACTATGTCTTAAAATAATTCCATTTCCACGGGCAAGGAAAATGACTTGTTTTGAGTCTCTGAGCACAGCACTGGAAGAACTCCGAATTGCCTCTCGGTGTGCCTGCCTCCAGTCATGAGAACAAAAAAAGCGTGGTCATGAAGAGGTGGGCAGCTATGCAATTAGGTAGCAATTAGGTACAGGAACTGAGAAAGCCAGAAATACATCAAATATCAGCAGATTTACGTATCCCTCCCTGGCTTCTTACCTCCCTAAGCATCTGCTCCCACATGCTGCTGGGGCTCTGTCCCTGCCAGCCACATTCTGCTCTGGAATTCACACCGTCGGTTCTTGCTGTGACCCTCACCGACAGACCCACACGTGCCACTTAACCCAACAGCCTCACCAGGTTATGTCATGTACTGTATTCACTTTGGGGAACATTACCCGAATACTGATGGGTGAAATCTGTCCCATCTTCTCATTCTTACTAATTGCAATTTACTTCAGAAATAGACCCACTGATTCTGCTTTCCCAGCACAGCAATTTTTCTGGTTCTCTCTTCAATACTTTCATGCGCTTACGTCCAACTTAGCTGCTGATCTTCAATATTCAAGGTAATTGTTAGGCACTAAACTCTTTTAAATGATCTAGCAATGGGGAATGAGTGTCGGCTGACAATTTTTTTTTTCCTCTGAAACACAAAGTCTCTGTTTCTGTACCACATATTTACCAAAATTACTCTGGCAATCTATTCATCTGTTTAATCCTGATTTTAATTTTTTCTAGTCACCCGTTTAAGCATCTCACAGAGACAACTTAGGACTGGCATCTGAGATGACTCGTGCTGTGTCACTTTGCTGCTGCCAGCTCAGAATGTCTCACTGTACACTTTATTGCTGGCTATTAATTTTTAAGATAGCTTTATGTTCCTTCTTAACAACTTACTTCTCAGAAGATGAAAACGATGCTGTTGCAACCACAGGCTGTGTAGAAATATAACATCTGAATATCTGAAAATGAGGGCAGAAGCTTGTTTCTGAGGGATTATATTTCCTTCTCAAATTCTATACAGAAACACGTTTCCCAGCCTTTCCCCCTTGTCTATATTGTTTGGACAACACGTATTTCCAGTTTGTAAAAAACAAACCAACCCACCAACCAGGGCACTACCTTGCATTAATCCAGAGGATGATGGAGGATATCGGTCTGAGTAATTTCCATGCTTTCAAACTTCCTTTTCGCCTCTAAAAGGCAGGCTAATGTAGGTCACTTTTAATGAGGAGCCCTGTGTGTGGCTTCCCCCACGCACTACACAGCAACGGGGCACTTAGGAGTTCATGTTCTCCCTGCATCATGACCGTACTTTGTCATTTTCCAACAGGGTTGACTTTTGCCCACAAAGCTGGGCACTTTCATATGGCGAAGTCTCTTGGCTGCCTCATTAACTCTGAATCAGTGTGTGCCCTCGCATTTTACTGTATCATTTCCTCCAGCATTCATTATGCTGTGGTTTAAACAGCCTCTGGCTAGAAACTTCTTAAAACATCACGATGAAATTACTTTCTCAACAACATACAAGTCAATTATAATGTAATTAAAACATATACTAACTTATTCCCTTGTTTGGTAACGGTATCCTGGTTAAGATCACCCAGTGCATACTCCCATGGTACCTGTGAAATCTGTGCTACGAATTCTAAGCTACTGTCCACAGCCCCTGCTTTTCTGTGAAAGACGCAGGAATTATAACGCCTGTTCTCTTCCAGCTTTGCAAACACAAGGAATTAAAGTGGCACAAGCTGGTTTGAACCTCGGGTCTCCACTTGTCAGTGCTTGACACCCCAGGCATTTCAATGGAGTGTTTTGTCCTTGGGCTGGGAGGATTTGGCAGATCCCTGGCACCTGGAAGGCAGACGCTCTCGCCGGGCTGCCCTCCATCACACTGGACTGGTTTTCAGCATAAGCCTCTCACGTATCCCTCTGCAAGGGAGGAGGTAAGCTCCCTTGACTTCACGCTGCTCCCTGCCTTTACCCTAGTCCCCTTCCACCCCATTCTCCTCTTTGTCCATCGTCACCCCCCCTGCATGCACCAGCTTGGCAAACGGGGAAGGACCCGAAGGCCGTGTCCTACCCTGCCAGGCAGCAGAGCCAAGCGCCCCCCTGCCCCTCCGCCAGCCCTGCTCACAAAACAAGTTCCCAATATTTACGCCTTTAAACACATGGGATCAGGGGTTCCCTTGTTCCCCCCCTTCAGCCCACTCCTCCCGCGGCACCCCTCCTCACTGCCCTGCGCTCTGGGTGTTTTGGGGATGAGGGGCAGCGAGCTACCAGGAAGGAGAAGGGGACAGGCTGGGAGAAGAGAGGATGGGGCTGCAGGACGGGGGACTGCAGAGGGTCCAGACCTTCGGGGACAGCAGCAGCTGCCCGAGGAAGCCGATTCCTGTGAGAATGGCAGCCCATTGGGTTGGTGGTGCACCAGGAGGCAAGCAAATACTCATCAGGTTGACACTGTGCAGCCTGCCCCGCGCTCTGCACGACCCCAGCGTTAACGGGTTTCGGCAGCCCTGGGCTACCTCGTGCACTTGCAATTCAGCGCGCTGCCCAGAGTGACACGTCAGATGCTAACAGTAAAATAAAGCTTATGCAACCTGGTAACGAACAATGTTTAAGTGAAGTGCCCTGTATTCTTGATGACTTCAAAATATTTTTGTTGTTACTATGTAATGTCAATATAAGGTAAAGAAAAACCCAAACAAATTAACAGCTGCATACAAGATGGATTTAAATGAGATTTCTTTGCAATCCAATGTGCATCGTATATCTTTGTCTAAAATAAACTGTTAGAACAGCCCCTTTGCAGTTCAGACAAGGATGGAGAGTTGCAAGAGACACATCCTTTGTCACCACCTTCCTTCTAGGGCCAAGTCCCTTCAATTACTTGAGCTTCATCTTTTTTGTCTTTAAAACAGAGATAACTTCTGCCCACGGCAATGCTGTGATGCTAATCCATCCGGTGTTTGCCAACACACGGAAGACACTATTCTAATAAATGAGATGTACAGAAAGCAGGACAACATCAGTCGATGCTGTCTGTATTCTCCATCACAGTCCTACCCGGCTTCATTTCTGGCTAGAAAAGTAGGTCAAAACACTAAACAATAGTTGTTTGAGGGAGAACAGCAACTTTTAACTTATTTGGGTATGAACACACTCCTTTTTCCAAATCAGCACTCCTACAACGGACAGGCAGGGTAACTGGGGACTCCCCGGAGGCGAGCGTGAAGGCAGCATCTCTTCTCGACCTGTTCCTTAATCAGCAAAGGTTCAATACAAGAGGAATAATTCATGTGGCCAGCAATTGATTCTTGCTCAAGAAGCCTCGGGGGAGAATTTTAATCATGGAAAGCTCACCTTCTCCTGGGACATGCTAAAATGGGGCAGAGGGAGTTCCTTCTAAATGTCTTTTGGGCAGATCACAAAGCAGAGCTTGGATGCCCATCTTGTACCCAGCACACACGCTGCAGTTCTGGGCAGGACCTCTGGCTGCGGGCATACGCTTCCCCTGCAGCTTCCCCCTGCCACATACAGTAATTACTTTCTTTTCAGTAATTGGTCTTAATGCATGCATGCACATCCACCAATCAAGCGACACACTGCTGCGAGAACAGCGGTCCTGGCTTGGAAGTCACGCTCGCCTGTAAAGCCAACAGCCCACCAGCACCAGCTTTGCCTGAGCAGGAGTATCCGTGGGGTGTAAGCAAATCTGGGGGAGGCTCAGCTTTCCTCAGCAAGTGGCAGGGTGCAACCCGAGGCAGCCAGGGCGGTTAGTCGGCGTTTCTGGAAATGAACAACCCAGCACCAACAGCGTAATGACGGCACTGCACCGATGTCAATGAAACATTACCATCAATTTAAGCAGGCAGTATGGCTGATTTATAAGCCAATATATAACCAAATATAGCGCTGGAGATGTTTGGAAAAACAAATATGTGAAACAGGCATGACAGATAGAAAAGCTTTATTAAGGGATAATTTCTGCAATCTCTGTCTCTCCCAGGACAGTGATATTTTAACACTCTCAGCCGAACAGGAACACAGATAAACAGGCTGTAAACTTGTCTCATTGCCCTGTGGGCTGTGCTTTGGCAGAAATGACCGATGATTTTTGGACTCAAGTGAATGTTTTAACTTACACCTCTGACAGAGTCTGTTAGGGAGATCTGCTAGTCCCTCCTACTTTGGAGAGACTAATCAGAGGGATAAATCTAGTGTGTAATAAAACCAGTTGTCTCAGCAACCCATTCAACCAGGATTCCTACAGGAAATACTGCAGCACGCTATCTGGTAATGCAAAACAAAATAAGGAAAAAAAAGAACGAAAGAGGGAAATCTTCACGCCCAATTTGTCACCTAAGGCTGGTGAATTCCAGTGCGAAAGCTGAAGAAAAGCAAGTGCTAACCTGCAAACAGTTCAACCAGGCAAAAGGGAATACGCAGTTGGCATTTACTGCACATACCTGTGTCCTCATTCCCTTTAAAAAGAACATTTTTTGCCACCAAAAAGGCCCCAGCTTTATCTGCCTGATACGGGTGGTGGTTTTAGATTCTGTGCTACGCACTCCATTTGGACACTTAAACCTCTTGGCTCATTAAGGTCGTGAAGTCAAACTAGCAAGAGGTAAAATCAATTAAGGCTGGCAAGATCACTTTTAAGGTGCCCTGTGTTTTACCCATTATCACTACAAGTGTCCAGAATGGATTATATTTAAAAAGTGAGCATTCATGAACTTCAGTGCTTAATGTAGCCCATCTACGTTTCTCTTCAGCCAGGGCTGACAGTCACCATCCTCTCCGCACAGTAAACACGCCGGGGTACCATCAGCCTCCTACCTTGGCTCCATCCACACTGATAATCCGATAGCTGTTTCTCGTGCTGTCATAGAAGTAGGAAACAGTTACAGCCTGCTTGCTTGCGGGAACCCAGTTCTTCTTCGTGCTGGGGTCAATTTGGAAGACATGGGCTCTGGTGGTGAAGATGGGCTGTTCTCTGGAATAGGGAGGGACAGGAGAAATGGATGCATGAGTCTGCAGAAGATGAAATGTCCCAGAAGCCCAGCCTTGACCAGGCATGTTGAAAGCACAAGACAGAGAGCACCTGGCAATCCCCCAAGTGAAAAGGCAGAGCGGTGACGCTGCTGAGGCGTGATCCAGCTTGGGGTACCTCTCCCTGGCATCGCTAAGTGACGTTCAGTGCCCTGACATTACTGCCATAGCCCAGGACACAGTTGGCTTTTTTCCTCCCCATGTCATGCTAACTCAGTACCCACCCTTTCCTGAAAAAGATTTATTTCCAGAAAAGGACACTCGCATGCATTCTTTCTTTCCCCATCCATGTTTTGCCAAAAACAACAAGCAGCCCCCCACGGCTGGATTTCTTCCTCCCACACATTCCTGGGAACCGGTGCCTACAGCCAGCGTTCCTCTATGGATGCAGCAAGGATCCCAGCGACCCACAGGCCTGGTATAATTACTGAAACACTCATCTCTGTCCTTAGAACCCCACTGTTTTGGGGATGCACATAAACATTTCATCAGATGCAAAACCAGTTCATCATCCCGGGGAGCGACGGGGAAAAGAAACACAACCCAAACCCTGCTGCTGATATATACTGCCTTTCAGTTCAACCCTGGGAGGATGATGTACGGCCCCTGCCAGCTCCTAAACACCAGCCCTCCTCGGATACTTTTTCTCATCAAGAAATCTGTTCACACAGTGGAGGGGGTTTGTTTTACCTTCGACACGTGACGATGCAAATCACACGTAAAGGCAGACAAGATGCAGGACGAAAAGAGCAAAACGTGAGACACACAACGTCATCTAGGCTAAAGATCAGAATTAAGACTTACTTAAAGGCCATAAAAATAAATTCACCTATACCTTTAATCCAACTTCAGAAGTAGAAGTGCACTGTGAATCAAGCTCTACTGCGCATTTATATACGTTTTTATGCTTTAGTTCTCAAAAGCTACAGTGTACAATGGTCTGTATTAAGTGTAGCGCTCAATATATTCTTATCACACACAAAATGTTATAACATGAATAGTTACACTTGACAGAATTACAACAGGATTCAAAACCAACTGTCCTACAACGGAGTTACCGCCCCAGAATGTTTACCACATGGAAACGGAAAACGCTGCTGGGCTGAATTCTGCACAAGGCAAACGAAGAGAGGTGAAAGGCCAGAGAGATCTCCTCCTCTCATATGCTGTTCTTTCCTACTCATACAAATAATTATCTTCTATTATTCTCGGTCCCATAGTTTTGGAACTGTGTTTTTATAATCTTCAGCTCCTTGTGCGTTTTTAGAGCAGAACAACTTCAGGTACTGTATGTAGGAACTGTACCAAATATCACACATGATCTCAACTGTTGGCAGTTAAATTAAAACCGAGGGGAGCAAATTTACAAATCTCAAACAGATGAAACAATTTAAGTGTAGAATTAGCTCAGGAAAGATGGAGTGAGCTTGCAAAGCCCAGCAAAGCCTCGGGAGGGAGAAAATCAAACAAGGCTTTTTTCCCTTGCAAGACACGTGAAGTTACACATTTTTTCCAGGAGCTGCCATGCAGGTTTCTGGGTGGACAGCTGTGCTGAACCCCGTAAAACACATGAAATAAACTGAAACTGCAATGGGATTGTCATGTCACAGCTGTGAAAGAGTAGCATTTGCTTCAGGCCTTCCCTATCAGTAACTCACTGAACCTGACTCTCCTTTCACACTAAAATCGATGCCGTCCTCAGCTGGGAGGAAAGAAGGGGCATGTCTCCGGAACATTTTTAAAGTATTTCCATTGCCCGTTGCACAGGATTAGCAGCGGAACACCCATGAGGGTCGTGGAGCTTGTCTGCAAGAAGGAATGCAGGCAGGGGAAGCTTCCCCCAAGCTGCTTGTTCTTGTACTCTAGAAAGACGTACTTTCCCCGAGCGAAGAATAATTTTGAATTTATTTCGCCTTTTACTTAGCTCTATATTTTCAGTGGATTCTAATAATAATTGGCTTTGCTAATGGTAATATGACCTATATACTGCAGTCTAAATTTTCAGGTTTCCTCCACACAAATGTACTCCACAAACAATTTTAACTCTGTTAACTCACCTTAACAATACCAGAAAAGACTGTTTAAACTATGCCTTGCCTCTCTGCAGCAGGAGCACTGAGCACATAAAGTAAACCTGGGGATAATTAAAGTAGAGTGAAGGGAAAAACTACCTCTCTTCGTTTTTTCAGGAGTCTTAGAGCAGCTACTGTTGTCAACAGGAGCTGTAATATGCATCCAAATGGATAAATTAACGAGGCTCAGGGCTCGAGATAGCCAACTATCCATTCACGTGAGGCCTTTATGAAAAAGTGAAGGCAAACACTGGTTGTGTTTCTAATCCTTATGATTATTAAACAAAACAAAAATTTGCATTTTGTCTTCCTGGGTGCAAACAGCAGCCCTACCACTCACAGTGATAGTGTGCTTGTTGATAAAGTATTTAAAAAGAAAAGGAAATGCGATGTGTAAACTTGGCATTTTAACTCATTCAGGGTAAGTGAGCTGTTGACCTTTCATTGAGACTCCAATGCGGAAGGGCCAGTCGGTTGTTTCCACTTACGCCTTTGACCTTCCTGCCATAAGTGGCTCCACGAGGCAGCGAAGTCCCAGGATTGATATTTAAGCCCCTGGAGCAGACAAAGCACCCCCAGGACACAATCTCCTGGAAGGATCTCCCCGCACTGGCTTGTAATAATTAAGGAAAGATGCATTTCCGCGGCCATGCCCGCCCTGCCACCGAACCCACGTGCAGGTCTGCCCTCAGCTGTTACCCCGAGGAGCCCAAACCCATCAGCAGGGCCTGGGAGCTGGCACCGGGAGCCGGTTCCACCGTGCTTTCCCTCACCACGGCGGGTCAGCAAAGCCAACGGTGTTGGCAAACTCCAGTGGTGCAGCCTTTAACATGGGGGGGTGGAATATCCACCTTCATTGTGCCCCAGACTCCTTTGACCAGTGAAGCACACCCCATCGACCACAGAACTGCGGCACACAATTCTCAGATGAAACACTGAATTAGACACTTTTAAGCCACTTACCATGGCCTCAGAGAGCCCCAAATTGAGCATTATTCTGCATTACTCACTTGCAACTTTTGATATTTAAGAAAGCACTTTACTGACAAAGGAATGACTTCTTTTTTTCCAAGATTTCTTTCCTTTTCATTTTATCAGAGGTTCATCAAGTTTTATACTTAAAACAACAGCCATGCTAACCTGAAATTCCCGCAGCACATCCTGCATCGTTCGAGCCTCTGTAAACTGGCCCTTACGTGCCAGGGAGGAAGGGAACAGTGGTGCTGCCAGCTGGGCTGCAGGCTCGTAAATCAGAAGACAAAGAGAATTTTTGAACGGTTAAAGTCTCATGAATTTTAACCGAAGTTGTTAATGATTGATTAAATACTCTTTAAAAGAACAAAAAAGTCTGTTTAAAAATCAATTTGACAGTAACATCCACTGTTTAGAGTAAAGCTGCTTGAAAAGTAGCGAGTAGAGGGCTTAATTATAGCTAATATTTATTTCTTTAATAACACAGATTAAGACAGAAAATGCACTCTGATAAGCTTTTTTTAATTACTAAATATGGCCAGCATGTTGTTTATAAATATGATTGCAATTTTCAAGTCATGGTTTTACACATTTTGGTTGACTGTTAATTTCTGTCCTTGTGTCATACGAGACAAATCTCAAGTAAAAAAACCCAATTATTCTCCATTAATGTAGAAATATGTCATAAATCTTTTCTGAAGGATTTAAAAGCAAAAACCGAGGCTCTGGAGCTAACTGCATCCACAGCTGTGTGAGACACTATCACTTTCTGGTTAATATACAACCACGGCAAATTTTACAAATGTGCGACTAGCTGCAAACCATGTGTTTTATATTACTTTTCCTAATCAACTGCAATGAGCTCTCAGTTAGGGAAAGTTCAAATTATTTAATTCAAAGTTGCTTGTTTATCATTTGAACCATGAGCACAACCAGTGATTTAAATCACATCAGCTGTGAAGAGCCTTTGCTGACTGCCAGCTCTCCCCACACAAATACTAGACAGCTTTGCATTAGCTGCCTCATTTACCAGTTGGAATGAATGGATTTTTTTAAAAGAACGTGTCCTCATACAGCTGCCATTTGGTGGCGGATGCACATGCCTGCAGACAGTGCGTCAGCGTAGAGTTTTTGGAACGTGGCGCTTCCTGCTACAGGCCAGCGTCACGCACGCACTGAGGTTTATACCACCTGACAGCGCCAGCAGATCTGCAGTGGTTTGCTATAACAAGTATTAGATAATGAGGGTCTTTCAAGAAAGAGGAATAGGCATGAATGCAAATTCCTGCATTGTGACATACCCCCATCACTGGTCACGATACGAGAAACTTTATTCGCTAAACGCAACATGATAAACCTGGTGTCAAGAGTTATTTGGATTGAGCGTTGTGACTACTGCCTAACCACAATAAAAATAACTCATCATTCACGATTATCTGCACACATAACGTAGTTTGGAGTGCTATTTGTATTTATTTATGATAGTTCAAAAATAAGCCATGTTGCTAAGAAGAGGAGCGTTGTTCCCACACCACCCCTCCCCAGGGGTGGCCAGCTGTGCACGCACGGCTCTCCTACCAGACAGCTGCCCTCGACCCCCATGTGAAAGCCAGCTTCCACAGCCACCGAGCGTTACCTGTACCTCTGCCTTCTCAAAAATGCGTGCGCAGCTCCAAAGGCTACGAGCACATTAGTGGGAGGGCAACAGGGTCAGCCTTGCCAGTGACAAGCTGTGGCATGAGATGCCAATGTCCGAGGGACGGGGTGCTAGCGAGGGCCCCCAGCCTGTTGCTCTGAGGCATGCCAGCACCCCTAAAGTCTTACAGAGGTGAGCCAGGGGCTCCTGAGGTAACAGGAGCCAACAGGGAAACACCAGTGAAATCCCTCAAAGGAATGAAGG